TGTGTGTGTGTGTGTGTGTGCGCGTGTGTGTGTAGGCCTATGTGTTGTTGGGGATGGGGTACAACACTCTACAAGACACACAAGTTACAAAATGTACTGATAGGATAGGGGTGCGACTGTGACAATAATAATAATATTAATAAGTAAGATTACTGTTCTCTAAATCCCCCTTTTTGTAATCAGAAGATCTCCCAAGTCCAAGCATAAGAAATTCAAACACATCTTAGAGATGCATTCGAACTGTAGAACTGTAAAGCAAACTATTTCCTCACTGAGTGCAAGTGATAACAAGAAAAGTAATCTCGTGTGTGTGCAAAGATTCGTTCCCCTTTCACAACAATGCTATCTCTGAGCCCGTAAGTATACACAGTAAATGCTCGTTATCTGCAGAGATTTAGGTCAAATTCTTGTCCAGCCAAAAAGGCTATCTCGACGGCGCTTTCGTCATGTGTATGGTTTTACGAACAAAAACTATAAATACATGATAGGAAAAGAGTTTTATTTGTTTGCCTTATTTTATTTTCAAGTTGAATATGTATAAAAAAGCTTATTAAATGTGTTTTGTTAGTTTTATAGAAGTAGGGTTTTACGGCGCTCGCAACTAAGCTTATTTGTGAATTAATGCAGGAGATATTGTAAGCCCAGCGTGGGATGTAAAGTGCGAGCGCACGTGTGTGAGTGTGTTTGTATGACAGTTGTGTGTGTGCGTGTGTATGCGTGTGTGTGTGTGTGTGTATGTTTGTGTGTGTGTGTGTGTGTGTGAGAGAGAGAGAGAGAGAGAGAGAGAGAGAGAGTTCAGAGAGAGAGAGAGATAGAGACAGACAGGCAGACAGACAGACAGACAGACAGACAGACAGACAGACAGAGACAAAGAGAAAGAGAAAGAGAGAGAGAGAGAGAGAGAGAGAGAGTCAGAGAGAGGGAGAGAGAGAGAGTGAGAGTCGTGCGTCTTTGAGAGAATGCCTTTGCAGTTGAATGAGGAGAGTTTTAAGTGGAAACATTTTTTTTAAAATTCCTAGTTCATTTATTTTTGCGCCCTCCATTGCCAACGAGAACCTTGATAAGAACGAAAATCTAGACTTAGTAGAATCGAGATCTGCCTCCAGATCAAACTCTGCAAAAAAAGCGACAGTCGTGTCGTGTAAAGACAATCGCGAGCTCGGGACAAGGGGCAGTCTGTGACGATAATAATATGACTCAGCTCGACCCATGGCCCAGACAAACACTAGAGATAGTTAAGTAAGACAAAAGCCGAGTGTCCAGTCGGAGCCAGGCTAAAATACCCCCCCCC